GAGCCCAGTCCTCCGACTCTTCGTCATCCAAAGCACTTGGGCAGCCTATAGTCCCAATCAAGTCAATATTAGACTACTAACTTAAAAGCACTAAGTAAACGAGAATTTAACGACAACCTAATGCTAATAAGTTCGTTTGCAAACATAACATTACCTCTGACGAAGTGGTCGCTGCAGACATGGGCATTGGCAGACTCTGCTCCTCCCGACTGTAAACGTAAATTTAAAATTCATTTTTCCTACGTTTTTCGGTTAGAATTTTCCATTTTTCTCCTCTTCGTTGGGCTATTTTTGGTACCCTAAAATACCGTTTATCAGTTTCTCGGGTCGACCTACTGGAGCATCCGTAAACACAACAGGACATAGGCATTTTGCGTACTGTCTGTCTGTGATTTTGCGCTTATCTTTTTCACTTCCGACCGCCAGTCAAATTTCGCGCTTTACGTCGACGTCACGTCTACGTCAAATGAAACCTAGCTATTACTTGGCCACAGTAACAATAAATTTTTTTGGAGTAGATCAATGACACCGGTTCAAAAGAATTACCCCACACCAACTAAAGCAAGGTGGTGGAAATTTTCTTGTCTAACAGTCATTAATTCACCCACGAATACGGAATCTTAATAACCAGTAAACATTTGGACACATGTTCCAAAATTGGAAGCTGAACATAGCGGGATAATCATCATCTAGGAATGACTCAGAAAGATGAAATGGAGGATTATGGATGGTCAAAATAATAATGCAGGAAGACAGTGAGAAAAAAGATAAGAATAAAACCATCAGAGCAAACCATTTTATCTGTTCAGCTTGACTCCACAATGTTTTGAAACTGATAACAAATAATGATGATAGAATTAACTATAACTATTAAACTAGTACTTGACTAACAGTCTCTTTCTGCCCCTCATTTGCCGGCTGTGGTTCAGGTGGTAGAACTGGTCGTCTACCATCCCGAGTTGACCCAACTGCATCAGAGTGTGAGTGTTTGTGATGTTAGCTAAAAGTGCTTGGATATAGATAAAAGCACGGTTTGATGTTCCAGGATCAATATGGCAACTGACCAGTCATACTGTTGGGATGTCATAGCTTTGCAATGAACAAGAAATGGCTCTATAATATAATAAATATATTATATGCCAATATATAACCATATTATATAAATATATGCCAATATAATAAATATATTATCAAGTTAAGTTTGCTGTTAGCTAACTTCTAATGCAAACTGAATGCTCAGACAACGTGATTTAGTTGTAATACTGATCCTGGTCCTATGTTATGATGACGCATTAACAAAACCAACACGGGTATATCAGGTCGTGCTTTTGTACGTAATGCTAACAGTAAGAAAACACAACGTATCACATAACTTACCTGGAAGGTGCCACACCCACCAAATTTGGCCCCAAGCCTCTGAAGACAGATCGAGGTCCCTCTTTCTGCAATATCAATCTGAACACACACACACACACACACACACACACACACACACACACACACACACACACACACACACACACACACACACACACAC